CCAGCTTACCTTCGCATACTGCTCTATGTCTAGTATAGCCGGGAGGTCTTGAGGAGACAGACGGAGACGATCCCAAGAGGGGGCGAGGGGCAGCGGCCTACCGACAGAGTCATCGATGCAGGCGCCGCGCTGCAGCAGCACCTGCACAGCAGCAGCAGCTTCTTCTCGGGCTTCTTCTTCATCCTCACCCGCTGCTGCAGCAGCCTTTGCTGCGGCATCTGCAGCTGCTGCAGCTGCTGCAGCAGCAACTGCTGATGAGACTGTCTCGTTAGGGCTGTTGCCTGAGGCTGATGGAAGCATTTCGTCTCCTGGAGCGGATGCACCCGCTGCTGCTGCTGCTGCAGCAGCAGCAGCAGCAGCAGCAGCAGCAATGGGTGCGTGCAGTCTGCGTAGATGCTTTGCTGCTAGCAAGTCTTGCTGCAGCAGCAGGTCTGGTGGGGGCTGGTGCCCCAGCAGCATCGACCATACAGCTGGAGTGAAGGACATATTGAGGGGGCTCATAGAGGTCACCGCGCAGCCCATCAGCACACCCACGGCCTGCAGCGCGCGGGCCACGTTGCGCCCGTACACTGTAAGCCCGTATACACCCCAGAACCGCAGCAGCAAGCTCTCCTCATCCTCTTTATCTCCATCCAGCAACGACCCAACCAGAGCACTGTATGCACTCTGCTGCTGCTGCACGTGCGGCAGCACCAGCGCCATTGGTCCATCCCTTGCTGCTCTTGCTGCAGTTCCTCCTCCTCCTGCTGCTCCTGCTGCTGCTGCTGCTGCTGCTGCACCTGCTGCTGCAGAAGAACTCAGCTCAGGAGCAGCAACCAGCAACGGGGGAGCGTCAGCAACCAGAGAAGGAAGAGGAGAGGGAGACNCTGCTGCAGCAGCAGGGACTAGCAGGTCCCGCAGCATTGGGTTGATGGCCGTGAAGTCTCGCCCCTCACCCACACCCGCGCGGGCGTTGCTGGAGGGTACCAGCAGCCTGCTGCCTAGCAGGTCGTCACATACAGCGCTCAACACCTCAGCATAGGGGCCCCCCAGGTCCTGGGCCCCCTCCCCCCGCAGCTCTACAGAGAAGCAACGTTCAGCAGCAAGCAGCGATGCAGCAGGGATACGCAGCAGCTGCTGCGACAGCTGATTCACGAGAGAAGAAGAAAACTCTGTCTCCGGCAGCAGAGACAGATCCTCATCAGACCCATTGATATCTTCGGGTGCAGCAGCAGCAGCAGCTGCTGCTGCTGCTGCTGCTGCAGCACCACCAGGCAAACTACGCCCCAGAGACAGACTACCAGTACCCACACGCGGACAGAACGTGCGCTGGTCCTGAGGCTGGGGGGCCTCAGGGTACAGGCCGCGTAGAGCTAGGAGGGTAGCGAGGGCCCCCCAGTGCCGCTGCAGCAGCACGTCCCTGGGGGCAGCAACGGCCCCCCAAGCCAGCTGCTGAGCCACAGAGGGCGGGGTGTATAGACGCTCCTCTGCGCTGCATGCATCCCCCCCTCTCCTCCTATCCAGCTGTATCTTCTGATATAGTATTGAAGCACCAAACGCCCAGTTGTGGTGAAACGGAAGCAAAAACTCTCGCACACGGCTCACCAGCCGCTCCAGTACAGGCACAGGTGGACCCATGCTGCTGCTGCTGCTGCTGCTGCTGCTGCTGCTGCAGCTGGTGGTGGTGGTGGTGGTGTTTATGCTGCTGCTGCTGCTGCAGCAGCTCTTCATGAGCCCCCATGTGCATGCAGAGTCAAGGGGCCGCGAGCGGTCCGCCACAAGGGGGCCGAAGACACAGCGGCTGTGCCTGTGCTGCAGCAGGGCTCCATCATCACCACCATCATCATCTCCATTCGTTGTTTCTCCTGCTGCTGCTCCTGCTGCTGCTGCTGCTGCTGCTGCTGCTGCGGTGCGGGGGAGCTCCGCTGTAGGCAGCGGGCTGGGGCAGCAGAGACGGGGGAGCCGGGGGCGGCTCAGCAGCGGCAAGAGGAAACGAAGAGAATCTGTGTTGTTTATAAGGAATTGAAATCTCCATAGTAAAGCTCTATGCAGCTCTCGTGGGTGTGGGGGCCATAGAAGCTGGAACGCAGCAACTCCTGCTGCAGTTGCTGCTGCTGCTGCAGCAGCAGCATCAGCAGCACCATTTGCTTTATCCCATCGTCCACCTGGATCAGCTCTTGCTGCATCTGCTGCTGCTGCTGCTGCTGTTGCTGCTGCTCTCTCTGCTGCCTTCAATGCGCTGCGAAAGAAAACACCCAAAACCTCAAAAGTTGCTGCATACGCTAGCGGGTTTATCTTTACACGCAGAGGGACCAATGGCCACCAAGGAAAGGAGACAAAGCCCCTGCTGCTGCTGCTGCTGCTGCTGCTGCTGCGGCTGCTGCTGCTGCTGCTGCTGCCTGCTGCAGCCGCTGCAGCTGCTGCAGATGATATAGGATAAGGCCCCGAAGGAGATGGACCAGTGGATGCAGGAGCAGCAACAGCAGCACCACCAGCAGCAGCAACAGCAAATGTTGCATACACCTGCCAGCATAGATAAACAGCAGATAAGAGAGCATCACCAAACACAGCAGGCTCAAGCTCCTCTACCCCAGACGGCGGTGTCTCCGCCTCAGCCACCACCACCGATGCTCCTGCTGCTGCTCCTGCTGCTGCTCCTGCTGCTGCTGCTGCTCCTGCTGCTGCTGCTGCTGCTGGTGCTGCTGAACCCTCAGAGGGCACAGACGAAGACAGAGACTCCTCGTCTTCGTCCTCAACAGAAGAACCCATCGCCACGTCACTAGACAGCTCACGCAACAAACTCGCCACACCCTGAACACACACAATATATATACATATGTATATATATATACATATATATATATACATATATATATATATATATATATATA